TATACTATATACTGCGTCGCATGACTTGCATTTGCTAGCGTATGAATCAGTGGGACACCAGCTGTATAACGAATCTATATCACGCCACTTACTTACGTGGGCCCGCCATGCGGACAGGCATTTTTTTGTTGCTACCGATAAACTTGACCAAAATGAGTGACACATGGAACTCAATTCTGTCAATCCTGTCACACAAAACTTCAAGTTCTGTCAATCCTGTCCCACAAAACTTCAATTTTTCTGAACACAAAACTCATATTCTGTCAATCCTGTACCACAAAACTCAGTTTTTGTTAACAACAAAACTCAATTCTGACAGATCGGTGCTTACCAAACTCGATTTTGTTGCCCAAATATGGCACACGCATCTAAAAGGGCTACCATTGCGTCAGAACTGAGCTTGCGAAGCACAATGTGTCACCGGTCGCATCTACGTTTCTCTTTAACTTAGTGACCCATTTCTCCAGAACCACGTTTCTTGCGAAGACACCCGTAATGTGTAGCCCTTCTTTACATGCCGGTTTGCCATATTTGGGCAACAATTCGAGCTTTTGTGGAAATGGATTTGTTTACTGTTAGAAAAAAATTGACTGCTGGGTTTGCTAGTAGAATCTATACATGCCTGGATGTATGAGTCTACAATGTCACAGTGAAATTTCAAAAGCTAAATTTGCTTGAAGAAGGTTTATGCTCCTTAAATCGTATAATTTCTATGGCATTCTGTACTGTCAGTGTGTTAATATGCCACTTTCAGTGGCCACTGCCAGTGCATGTGGTGGTGATAGTATGGTGTAGTTTTTGCCTGCGTTAATTAGGTACAGGTGGCAGCTCTCTATTGCAGCCTGTAGGAGGGTTAAACATTGATTTGTTTCTCAACTGCGTTGGCGAGTACCTGTGGTTGTGGAACGCTCCCATTTTACAGTGAAATTCCACACATAACTCTTACTTGAACAATGCTTACTTAGGAGATAATGATATGAGTTATATATGAGATTCTGTAGTGTACATTATGAATAGTTGGAATAGTCACTAGCACTCAAATAATTACCCAGGAGTGAGGCTGTGGATTTCCCAGACTTAATTTTCTCATCAAATTTTGGCACCAATATAGACGCAAATGTGTACGTTCTTGAGCTTATTCGCTCCACTAATCACTGGCCTACCTTGTTTTGTTTTTGTTTTAATAGGGTTAGGGTCACAATGCACCATAAAACATTAGTTTCAGGCACGCGATTTGTATCAACTAATGGGATTGGGGAGTTATGCAGAATGCAGAAGGTTGCTGAAATGATGTGTACGCAACTGCGTATCTGCATATCTGCGCCTAACAAAGGTGTCACTACGCACAACTTAAATGTTACGTTTATAACCGTAGCAACAGACCTCAGATGAGCCCAGACGCTCTGCGGCTCTTGTTGAGGATTATCAAAGTGAATATAAACTTGTTTTTTAAAAACTTGCTGATTGAATCATAATGAAAAGTGTTTTTCCATAGTTACCTCTGCCAAGGGGTTGGCAGGAGGTTATGTTTTCACCGGTGTGTGTTTGTTGGTTTGTGGGTTTGTGCGTTTGTTTGTTTGTGTACAGCCTAACTAAAAAAGTTATGGACGGATTGTCATAAAATTTTCAGGATAGGTCAGAAATGGGGTAACTTAGAATTGATTACATTTTGGTGGTGATCCGGATCCAATTAATTAATTAATTAATTAATATAGGTCAGAAATGGGGTAACTTAGAATTGATTACATTGGTGGTCATCCGGATCCAATTAATTATTTAATTAATTAATTAATTAATAAAAATTTTCACAGTGAGAGAATTGACCTGTCTTGGCGGAGGTCTGCGCTCTCCGAGTGCTCTAGTTACTTATAAAATACTTATGCTTCAGAAGTAGATCATCTAGAGCAGTGTTTCAGAGTGTCTCCTCCCCATGTGGTCTTGGGACAGCTTCTCTATATCCTCTCCTGGAGACATGTGACTGTCAACGTTTTTGTAATGATGTTTCATATATTGTATTTCGTAGGGTGTGGTCAGTCCATCCCCACGTTTTCCTCATGTTCTTTACGACTAGCCATCTCTGTCCTGTTCTTTCCCATTTCTTCTGCTTTGGGATTTTGCTAGGCCATCTTATCTGTAGGATTCTTTGAAACAGCTATTGATGAAAGTGTGGACTTTACATGGGTTTATTTACATTATCAATATCTCTGCACCTTGGCATTTTTTAGGATTATTTTTGACAAGATCTTTTAGGGATTCGAAAAAACGTTTAGTTATGAGGGCTCTGTCAACATTGGCTTCCACATCTGTCTGTAGAAAAAAGTGTTAGCCTCAACTTTGCTAACATTTGATTTTAAATCAGATGCTTTTTTTTCTTCTGTTTACAGCCATTTTTATTACAGTTTTACATGTCATGGCCTTTGTCGTAATTTTATTTTTATTGTCATGTACTGTGCTTAGCATGTAGGGAAAATGCAAGATTCTAAAGGTTATCCATTCTGCAAGATCTTCTAAAAACTGATGTTATCTGACACAAGGCACTAGAGGAAATTGCTTTATAGATAAACAGAAATGACAGTCAGTAAGACTAAGAGTGCCAGTCTCAATGTCGAATTTAAAAGTCGATATAATAACATATACAGCCATTATAATGACAGTGTATACTGCTATGGATTAAGGTAAAAACTTTGGCATTTATGAGGTTTGTTTTTATTCAATTTTTCTGGCTTTCAAAAATTTTTTAGTTGTAAATGTAGACTTTGCCCACATTGGCTTTGATTCATCATTTAGCACTAGAACAATATTGTCTTCGTAGGTTGAAAGATAAGTTGACACCGTTTTAATAGTGATACTCATTTTGTGCTGCACTTGAAGGATAAATTTGCAAAGTTGTAGTTTTGTGTTATTTTAAGTAGCATAAAGGTCATACATGTAAAATATATTGTTTTTCTCTGGTTTGTATAAAAAGTATTATTAAAAGTTATTGTTGTCTTAATAGCTAGGCCCTATGTGTAGTCAACCTACTGTTTCCTTTTTTCTATTGCTTTCAACCAAACTCAATGCATAGGATGCACACAGCCTCATTTTTTGTCCAGACAAAAAGTTAAATGTCCTGTATGGACCTATGGTGTAAATTTTGTAATCATATAAAACGACCTTTTGCTAGAGAGTCAAGCTCAGTCAACAGATGTAAATTGTAATGGAATTATGAAAGTTCTACTAACTTACAATAGTTGCTCCAAATTCCAAGCCTAACATCAAACGATTTCCTCCTTTACTATTATGATTTTAATACATTTATACGTGTTTCAAGTGAAAGAAGGGTGCAGGGTATTCCAGCAACATCTTTACATTAGAGTGGATTCTCTAAAACAAACATATTGGTCCTTCTCATGCACTTGTACCTTTGTGCCATAAATCTTAAGTAGCTTCACAACGTTTCTGGTGTTTAGAATTAAGGCTCACTGTGTAAAAAGGCATCCTTAGTAAATAAATGGAGGAACAGATGCTGAAAGGCAGATTCCAACGACTTTTGAGAACGTCGTCGTACAGTCCGGGCCCCGTAAGTTCCAGCAACTATAAGGGCCCTATTTATTTCAGTGCTATCGTTTTTTCTCTACTGTCCTAACCATAATTTTATATACAGGTGTGTGTGTTGCGTGCGTGCGTGCGTGCGACAAGAGTGGGCCTAGCTGTTCTATCCTCTGTGTGTTGGTGCAAACGCTGGGCGTATGCGATGTTGTTTGTGCGGTTCGTATTACAATGTTCGTGGCATAAGCAAGTTTGTGATATTATAGCTCTTGCTAACAATCTTAGTTTCATAGTAACTTTGAATTGTTTCATGATGTATCGTTCATCGAGTCTGGCGAAAAGCGCTAAATTTGGAAAACACGATGGCAATGTCATGTGAGTAGAAATGAGGTCAACTGACTTATCACTATCAGACTTAATAACTTTGGTAGAGGGTGTAGGGAAAGTTTCTACGTCCAACTCTAATTGCAACTATCTGTGGTGATGATGGTTAGTCTAAGAGTCGCACTGCGGGACATGCACCACGAATCCACATGCACATGCACGAGGGCATGCACATGCTCCTCACCATGACTGATATCAGGAGTGAATAATAATAGATTATAGGTAATAATCTATTATTATTCACTCCTGCTGATATCCTAACAATTCCACGTATTGTGGAGGTTGCAGTGGTGTACTCCCAGACGTCGTGGTGATTCTGAATATATCTTCAGTTAGCGCGATTGAGTGACAAATCACGGAGAAAAGCGAGGTGAAACAAACAAACACACACACACACACACACACACACTGATGTACACAAGATTAGCCAAATTATAGTATAGATTATCGTGTACAAGGACACGTGCTCTACCTGAGCATATGCGCGCTCACAAACCTGCATAACAAACCCAGACTGAGATGTGTTCTATTCAAAATTTATGTGGATCACGTATGTACTATGCAAGAACTATTGTGAACCACTGTATACAACCACTGGCAGCAAGAATAAGTCAATAGATGCGTGTGTGCTGTAGCTGCAGGTGCGGACTTGTTCTTACTGCCAAGTGTATATAACACGTGACAGGCGTAACTAATGGGTCTCAGTGTTACGCAACTTTCCAACAAGCTTTTGGCCTTCAATTGAGTTCAAAAGAAAAGTTGAACTTTCATTACTTAGCTCTTACTGCACGCGGGCATGCGCCTTTTGAAAGTTGTTTATTACTATTACGTATCTAATAGTACTGCATAAAAATGCACATCAGGTACCCAGTACTTGTAGATGCTGACTTGCTAGCAAGGCGGATGAATGCATTTATTAGCAAAGAAGTATATATTTTAATGACATATTGAACCAGTGTGTAATATCACTTGAAATTTTTGTGTGTAATAAATAATTTTATATCATGGTCGTGCAGTATTGGCCAACAAAAGTGACTGACATACGTATTAGTGGTTTTAAACTGGTTCTATATTGTTTTTTTTCATAGATTCTTGAGGACTTCCAATTTATGACTTCCTCCATTTTCTGCACTTCAACATAACTTCAAGAATGGAGTCCGGTAGGAGTGCTCCATCCAAATTGGCCGAGGTAAGCTGAGTGTTGTGTGTGTGACCGATTAATTCAAAATTAATTTCACACCAAACGTTGCAATTCTATGTACCGTATAAATAAATGTCATTACTGTACCATATATGCACGTTCACTGGAGTTTTTTAGGCAATTTTCATGTCAAAATATTAGACTGGCTTTTTGATTGGTAAATTAAAAATAATGTTTGAGAGACTTACTTGATTTGGGGAAATATTGTTAAAGTTAGTTCAGCTCATAGGGTCTATGTCCCCCAGGGTACGCTCCGGCAGTACCCCGAGGGACATAGACCCTCTCAGCGTTAGTTCATGGTCATCATAAGATATCCTAGGATCATCCAAGATTATACCTTAGTTTTGGATTTGCTGGGCCATGATCATTGAGAAACCGACATGAACTTTTATTGGAGGTTACTTATATGATAAATAATGCATTTCACAGCCAATAACTGCACATAGATCTTTACACATAGTATAGGTCTTGTCTACCTGCGTGTATACAGTATAGTCTGTAATTCTGGGCCATGATCTAGGCATAACGACATATATATATATATGTGTAATATTCCTGGTTATATGGGGATAATGTCAAGAGTGCATAAACTGGTCTATGTGCATGCTCTTGGTAATGGCTGCTGTTTCTCTAAAAACCAAGTATACTTTATCTTCTTTTCAGTTATGCGCCGTTGTATTCCAAAGCCCTGTATGTATATGTGTTTGTAGTGCCTATGCACGTTGTACAAACATGCGCAAATATGTTTGACAGGCTAATTAGTATTACTGCGCAAACGTATACATATTTATAGGTGACGCACGTATGTACACGCTTGCACAAGTAGACGGTGTTGCAGTCAGTGTCAGTATCAGTGCCAAATGATTGCTGTTTCGATGGTCATACAGCACATACAACTAGTTACTACTAGCGATAGTATAGAAGGTCTTTATTTGCACATCATTTGTATGTGTTTCTGATAGTTATGTATTACCAATGATATGAAAACCAAATATGATTACACAACCATACCGCTATTTTTGGTAATCGGTAAATCCGATATCAGCATGAGCAGTACGTCAAGCTATAAACGAGGTTTAAATGTATACTACGAACCTATCAAGGGTGAATAAAAACAAATGCACATAAGGCGAGAATAAGCTATATATAAGGCGTGTACCTGTGTACAACAGCAAACTCCCAAAGTGGCTGGGCTAGCTGCTCTTAGTATATCAATAGAAGGTGAATATCATGCTACAATAAGTTCTAGTATAAATTAAATAATAAAAACCCGTCTAATCGTCTATAGTGGTCTGCAGATTTTATAAAGGGTCTGCTAGACCGTATTCTAAAAATTCTGAAGTCTGCTCTTGTTCTCGCTTACTTTATGTCACCGCTTGGCCATTTGAACGAATAGTGAAAAGTGCCGGATAGAGTGAGAGAGCAGTTAAATTTCATCATTGGTGGACTGTAAAGACGACAAGACAATAAATTGGACTTATTTAATACAGAAATAATAATATCTGAGCTGACATGGTAAGGTAGTGCCAAGTCGTGTATGATTTTCTTTTCTGCGTGTTCCCAGTGCAACTGGACATTTTGTAACTACTTTTATTCAAAAACAGTACGTCACTAAATCCTTCACATATATTGATTAATTTTTAAAATGATATTTTAATAAAAACGGCAGGTATAAGCTGTAACCATTGTATAGGCACGCCGCTTGCTTGCTTTTTACACCGAGCCTCAGGTACGTTCACCGTGTAGTAGCCAGTGTTGTAGTCGAGTCCGCACCCCCCCCCCCGAGTCCGAGTCCGAGTCCGCACCCCCCTGAGTCCGAGTCCGAGTCCGCACCCCCCGAGTCCGAGTCCGAGTCTGCGCCACCCGAGTCCGAGTCCGAGTCCGAGTCCGCACCCCCGAGTCCGAGTCCGAGTCCGCGCCACCCGAGTTCGAGTTCGAGTCCGAGTCCAGTTTTGATAAAAAAATCGGGGAAAAAGGGAAAAAGGGAAAAAATCGCAACAGTGCATCGTAGACATTCGAAGTGTATAGTCAGCCGAAAACACAGAGACACGAGTCATATGAAACGTGTCAAAGTAACGGATCCATTTGTGTTTTACGAGAATGACACGGCTTGTTGAACCAAATGAGAGAGTGCTAGTACCTTCGAAGTTGTAGAAGAAGAGTAAGAAGTGGTAGAAAAAGCGCAAAGGGACGAAGGGACAGCAGATTCAAACCAAAGGGACAAGAATCTTAATCGAGCCATTGAAAACGTTACAAGATTAGGCCGTGTATCTAGAAAACCTAGGAGTTTTGGTTTTAAATTCTTGTAAACGGCGTGTTACAATATGTACAGTTGTGTACTATGTATGTAGTGGCCTTGAGCCGGCCTCGACCCGAGTCCTCGAGTCCGGAGGGCTCGAGTCCGAGTCCGAGTCTGAGTCATTGCACTCCGAGGCCGAGACCGAGACCGAGACCAAGGAAAACGGTCTCGAGAGTCGAGGCAGGTCTCGAGGCTAAGACCGGCCTCGAGACCTACAACACTGGTAGTAGCAGTGCACCGTCTTTTTTCAGTGGATCAGTGAAATGTTTTTTTTATCACGCATCTGTGTATCAAGTTACGATATTATTTCTGCGCGGTCAATCTGTCATTGTCAGCTGATGGAAATTATCACGAAAACCACCTACGTCAGAATGCAGCAATGGATAGCATAATCAATCGAGCTTGGAGCCTGATTGTCAATTCCGCACGCTTATATACGAAGGTCTGAGTTGATTCAGTAGTGACCGATTTACGTGTAGATTTACGTAGTTCTTCGAATGTCACTATACTCTTGCCAAGCTTTGTCACAGTGCCTCACTGAAATGCAGGTGCAGGTGAATTAGCTAAGAGGTCAAGTACACGGCTCACTTGACCGAATACTGCATGTACAAATAAATGTAATTCTTGGATCCCCATCCAAAGATTGATTCTAAGGGATTGGATTGTGCTGATATTATCAGGAGTGAATAATAGAGATTATTTATCCAAATATACGTGTATTAGGAGATTTCCGTGTGCTTAGCAGAGATGGCTAATTTACTGGATTTTTAACCGAGTGTTTGCGAAATTGGTTGCGTGATTAGCCAGATATTAGTGAAATTATATGATGAAAGATGTTGCTTGGGATTGTAATGCTTGGCATCTGAGAGCAGCATGAAACCGGACGATTCTGGTGTGGGAGGCTGGGAGACAAGGTCGCACTTGGAAAGTGGATGCATATATACTAACTATACTACAGAGAATCTCTAACCGTACTACTACTTCCGCTCCGCACGTTTCCCTTATTAGCGTACATATTACACCATATTCCGTCCCCATTATTACCGTCCATATTACACCCATATTCAGAAGACAGAATAAGTGAGGTTTATGTAAAGTTCTCTTCAAAGTCTACAGAATTCGACGAACTGGACGAAGACTAGCAGCGGGGTTAGAAAGTTGTTGTTTATTGCTAGTGTGTTTTGCGACAGGTTGCCTGGGGTTGTACAGTATTATCTTGGTATTATCATTCTATGGACCGGTCTGCAGCTACGTTTATGCGCATATCTAACGTGAAACGAAAACCAATAACAGATGTAGAGGAACCCGTTTTTATCGCCGAGGGTCTATTTGATAAACCCGGGAGGGCTGGCCAGAAGGGGGAGGGATAGCATGCATTTGTACACGCAGGCTAATGTCTTTTATGTTTATACTAGCAGATGCACTACACTGGTATCTTATATTGCTTAGCAGTAAATGCAGTGGTATGGAATTATGGAAATATCTCGCCGCTGAATAAACAAGAAGGTGCGCGCGCATGCATTGGATTGTTTTTCAAAACATGTCGTCTTTGAAAAGCGACGCACTCGTTTATCTAGGACCCGACGAAGCGGGGACCACTGTAATACCGCCATGCGCTTGAATAATGAGTGAGGCGCTAGCTTTCCTTCTGAGCTTTCCTCCTGAGCTTTCCTCCAGTGTCATCGACCTTTACACTGCGAGACATATTACAGTTTGAGATAACATGAATTAATTGTGCTTATTGGTGGAATTTACGAGTTTGATTACATATATACAATATATTACGTAGTGCGTTTCTCATTTTATATAAATAAAAATTGTCACACGAAACATGTGTGTTACACAGTTGCACCGATCCGCTAGTAATTTTCCTAAAACGTGCAGAACTTCATTCAAAGGCGCCTGGCTTTGTGAACAAATAAGATATTGGTAGGATCAACAGATCGCTACACCTACTTATTCCCGCCGGTTGCCGCTACAGCACCATCGTTAGACAGCTATTCTGATTTTGGTTGGCATTCGTTCGTGGTCACCCGGAAATCACAAACGGGAAATGTCTAATGATATTACTCAGTAAAGAATTGCGCAGGCATTCACGAGTAGGTGCCGCCGTTCCGTAGCAGCAGCAGTTTCCGTAATTCGTGCATGCATGCGTGTACGCAAGATTATTTTCGTCAAGCCTGGCGCGTTTTTATGAGCTTCGCGAGGTATTGAATTGTACAGTTACAATTTAGGTACACAATGTACCATTAATTCAAAAACTTTTCGCCATTACACATGTGAAGTGTGTAGCAAATAGAAGCAAGGGTCGGCTAAAGTCCGGGGCCATAGCCTGCACAAGGGTGTAGTAGGGGGTGGGGTGGGGGTGGAGCAGAGTTCGTGAGCCAACTGAGTGTAATGACGAGGAAATATTTTTTCAAGTCGTTTCAAGTAATACACCACGTGTATATCAAGAGTAGATACTATAATCTACTCTTGATTATTATCTACTCTTGATAATATTAGGACTCCGACGGAAGGAATAATTTGCTTGTTATTTATCACATTTATGTTAGGAATGTTAGAACAATTATTAGGCTCATCTTTATTGGTTTGTAAAATTGTAAGGGGGTGGTCAGCTGCCCCCTCTCCCTCCTGCGGCTACGACACTGCCTATACTGTCATAGAATGTTGGCTTAGGACACTAGAA